CAACCACAAAGTTAAACCAACACACCAGCTGATGCCTTCTCCACCCAGTTCAGTCTGAGTTTGGATACTGGTAGAAATTATGCCCCTTATCCTAAAATCATGGGGAGGAGGAGGGTTCCAAAGCCACAGCCAGCCCTGGTTTAGAATGAAATCCTAAAACTACTGGATCTGGAAAACACTGAGCTCAAGAGCACTGAGGCAGAAACACTCCATCTCTTTAGCTGTGTTCAAAGAATTTCTAGGCAAAACATCCATCCTTCCTTCCTTCTAGGCCCCTCATAGCAGCCAGCATATCAGAATGCTATGCAATAGAAGCTCAAAGAACAACTTAGCAACACACAGTATGAGGTTCCCAAAGCGTATCTTGCTCCAGGACTCACTCTGAGACATATAAGCTTTTTCCTTTTTTTTTTTTTTCTCACTGATAGGTGATCCCACTGTAGGGAATCCAGGTGATGTGAAAATTCAAGACTGATTTTTTTGGCAATGACATTTCAGATTCTGTCTGTATTTGGAATTCCTCCCCTCCCCCCCAAAAAAAACCTCCTTAAAAACGTGATGAATTGGCCACTTGGGCTTAGACCAACTGTTAGGGTCACACCTGCCAATGCCAGGGGACATCACACACAAGAAAGAGAATGACAAGATAAAAAGTTCATTGCATTCAATTTGGTCTAATTTCTTGATAATAGTTTCCTATTAGATTTTCCGATTAATACTGATGGCTCTTACCTAGGCTGTGATAATTAGGTTTTGATCTATTGTGACATTAATGATCACAATCAGTTGACTTTGAAATTGTCTTAATTAATGGCTCTTTCCTTGTCAGCTTTTGCCTCCACTGCAGGATCTATTCCCTCCCCTACCACCTTGCTTTAACTCCTTCTCTTACTAACCTAAAGAAGACAAACAGTATTAAAGGATCATTTCTTAAAAAAAAAACACACACACACACACACACCCCACACACACAGGATTTTAAACTATTTTAGAACGTTTCTCTGACAGAGGAGCAATGTGAGATGATGTTAGGTGAAATGAAGACCAGGAGAAAAGGCAAGAGAATGAACATGCGCAGGAACAATTCCATCTAGAAAATAACCAGAGTCCAGCACGATGCTCAAGTGGCAACAACAGGCGGAAGCAACTCCAGAAAGACAAGATGAGGTAGATTAAAATCCAAGAAATTCAGCACAAGCAAAAAGAAACTAGAATTGTTTTTAGGAAGCTATCTAAAGAATTTCATGCTGTAACTTCCGTAACAGTGGGCTGAATTCCTGGGAGTTCTGACTTCCAAGGCTAGCCAGCTCTCAAGTGTTTAGGCAGGACTAAACACTCTTTCTTGCGATCACGTGTCAGAAAAAAAGAATACTGTTGAGATCAGATTGCTTTGTCTTTGTGGTACTGAGCAGTAAACCCAGGGAGTGCTGAGGTACAACCCCAGCCTTTTTAAATACTTTTGATACAGGTCTCAATAAATTCTCCAAGCTGGCCACAAACTTGCAATCCTGTTTTAGGTATGTACAACCCTGCCATGTAAGATTGGAATATTTTCTTAACTGCGATAGACTTCACCCTGCACCCACCTACACTCAGTAAGTTTGAGACACCAGGGTAGGAATATTTCTGGGAAAAGTTTCCACATAACTGACGCCAAGTCCCTGCTGAGACATTACTCTCATGGATTTATTGTACTGGGGACTGAACCCAAGGTCTACACACTGGGCTACAGCCCCACCCCTTTTGACTTTCTTTTTTTTGAGACAGGATCTTCTAAATTGCCAAAGTTGGGTTCAAATTTGTAATCCTTCTCCCTCAGCTTCCCAGAGTGCTAGGATTACAGGCATGGGTCACTGTGCCTGGTGAGAAATGACCTTTCCAGAGTGCCTGAATAAAATTATACTACTCAGACATACATGTTCAGCTATTAACAGATGTGTCTCAAGTCTTCTTTGTAACAAAGTGTTTGATATTAAATGGTAATGATGTGAGGAAAAAAACTGTGTCTCTCCCCAGGTTTACCTGGAGCACCTACAACCAGGCTGACTTTCCCAGCAGCTGACTGTAACACATCCGCTCAGGATTAGATGACTAACCAGCACTCAGGAGGCTGAGGCAGGAGGATCCGTGTGAGTTCAAGATCAGCCTGGGCTACAAAGTGCACTCCAGGCCAACCTGAACTGCACAATGAGACCCTATCTCAAAAAAGACAAAACAACACACACAAACTGCCTAAACTGTCCTTGGTACTCTACTGGGGAAAGCACTGCCAAATTCTGCAGAAAAGGTTATCATTCACTGCTAATTGCTAGAAGAAATTCAGCACGAGAAAGATGTTGTAGAAGGAAATTAAGCACAGAAAAAACCTCAAAACCCCCCACTGCGACCACCTGAGACCTAGGAATCAAAAGTGCTTTGTCCATGGCTACTCACTATTCAGAGAAAAAAACCACCATGAAAGTTTTGTTTGAAACTACAAATTTCTTTTTCTTTTTTTTTTTTTTTTGGCGGTACTGGGGATTGAACTCTGGACCTTGTACTTGCCAGGCAAGTGCTTACTCTACTGAGCTCTCTCCCCAGCACCAAAACTACAAATTTTTAAGAGAAAGGACAGCTACTCAGCACTAACAAATGCTAGAGGCACAGGCCAGGAGTCTGGTTTTCTTTGTGCTGAGGACCACTAGCAAGGAGAGAACAAAAGTGATTTTGGTGACAGTCAAAAAACCAGGATTCTACAAACCGCGGACAGAAAAAGATGAAGAGTATTAAAGAGCTAAGCAGTAGATGATACTGGGGTCATTTTGCTAAAAGAAAACCAGGTTTCAATTACTGTCTTGAACGTTACCTATAACCACGGTAACCCTGTGTTCCTGATTTCTCAGGTTCAATCTTAGTACCAAATGCTGCTGTGCCCCCTGTCCACATACGAGGTGTTTGGCTGAGGGCATGGCCACCGCAGTTTACACAGCTACTACTGCTGGGCTATGTAGGCTACAGGGGCTGACTGTCATTTCTCCACCCACTGCCGATGGAGGCTTGATTACCTCCACAGGAGCCCTGGCTTACTTTCCTCCTGTCTACCCTGACTTATCTGGGGTTACCTGGGTGACAAAACTGTTTTCTGGCTGTCTACCTTCGTGGTGCCCACCATTGTAAAAACAACTCAATTATCCAGCACTTGACTTCATCTTAATTCCTTGAGAGCAAAGATAAAACTCCCGCCCACATCAGGTATGGGTGAGGGGCTCTCCCCAACCATGTTACCATTCAGGATTTTCTCTGGGATGACTTAGCCCCAAAGCATCCCTATTTCAGTCTGTCATATCACTGTAGCAACAGCTGTCTCTTCAACTGTGCTGTATAATTTTTGACATAATTTATACAAGCTCACAGAATTCAATCAGCAGCTGAGCAGGGAGGCAATTTTAACAAATGCTACAAATGAGTGTATGATTTGCATATCATCGGGCTCATCTGCGGACTGGATCAATCCACCCATGCCCCTCATTACTGGGGATGACCTAGAAATGGCTGAATGCTTCTGGCCAGACAGCTGTATGTTTTAAAGCTCAAAAGCAACAACAAAAAAACACCTCGGTGGCTGGTGAACTCTAGAATTAAGGCTGCTTCAAGCATTTATTCTCATTTCCTCTGCTTTGGGGAAAAAAAAGATGTCTCAAACTCTGCCATTTCCTTTCTTCCAATCCTGATTCAGTAGATGCCCTCAACTACAAAAGAAGATGAAGAGAAGCAGGGAATTTCAGGAGACAAAGGCAGAGAGAGAAGGATATGGGGTGAGGGGGGAGAACCTCAATAGAACAGCAAAGAGGAGGAAATCAAAAGGGAACTAAGTTTGCTGAGTAGCGAGAGGTTGTGTCAACACACTAACGCCAGGACTTGCCCCATTCTCAGGTGACAATCTTCCATGGAAATTCATTTTACAAATATAAGATACAACCAAAATTTCAAGAGTGGAAAAGTAAAGAGGACTCCTGGTGGCAAATCCAGGACTGAAGCAAGCAGAAAACTTATAACTGCTAGGAGTATTTAAAAGTGACACCGTGGCCAATGGCTCCCCTCCAAGAATTCCCTACTGGAAACATGGTGTGGAAGGGAAACTTGGATCCACTGAGAAGGGAGATCAGGTTTGAAGCCTCTTTGGTAACAAGAATGCTTTGGGAGGCCACAAAAGTTGGCAGGGTTGGAGGGTGCCTAGCACCTTGGCACAAGCAAGCACCAGGCAATCACTCACATCTACATAAATAGTCTAAATAGGAGGGATAGAAGGAAAGAATACATACATTCTATGTGTGACAATGAAAGACAACTGTATCTGCCCCTACCCCATCACCCTCCTGTGCTACAGCTTAAACACCACAGTTAATAATCTTGTCATTTCATCACAAATTGACACCATCCTACAGAAGCAGAATCAGTGATTGCTAAGAACAAGGCCAAATGTCTGGGCTAACATGAGTGCCCTGAAAATTTTCACTGCAAAACTTCAAGTCCTCAAGAGGACAGAGTTATTCTGGGAGGATACATGAGGATGACTAACAGAAGGTGGCCAGAGACCACACCCGGGACCCTGTATTCTCCTGGGTAGAGCTGAACAAGGTTGGGAAAGTCCCAGCACGTAGGCAGTTGCTACTGGCTTTCAAAAAGATGGGCAACACCCTTTCCAACCCAACATGCTAAACAAAGGCCAGCTGGTTATCAACATGTTCTAAGAAACAAAGTGAGAAACCAACATTTACCATCTTTGCTATAACATCCCCCAATCTAAAAGCAACCAACCCTGAAAAGATCAAGACTCTAAGGTGATTAAAAAGTTAAAACTTATCTTTAGGTCACAGGGGAGCAGAAGGAAGAGATCAGGGCAAAGGAAAACTTGGTAGGAATTACACACAGTATGTAAATGCCTGGTCTTCACAGAGAGACACTTTTCATGAATCAGACCATCGGTTATGTTACAAGAGAACCAATACCAACATTTCTCCTGTGGAGCACAGTGATAAGCACATTTTTTATGGATGTGTTTAGGAAAGAAAGGGTTGGGCAGAAGGGACAGGAGGCAAGGAGGTGAATGTATTATGTACAAAGAGAAATGACAAGAGACCACCCCCTCCTTTAGCTCTTTGCAGTTTCTTTCTCTTTGTTTTCCGCGTCCTCAGGATATGCATGCCACGTCAGTCTCTCTTCATAAAATGCTATCACAATTTGTGGACATTTCACATTAGCTTCTTTCGCAAGAACCAGGTCAGCCTCATCTGTGTCTTTCCTAGAGAGAAAGAATATGACACTTAGAAGGAGAGGAAGTAAAGAGTGAAAAAAATCTATCTAAATATAGGTTTCTAGGGCTGGCGAAATAGCTCAGCGGACTAAGTGCCTTTAGGCAAACACAGGCACTGGGGTTCAATCTGCGTGTCGGGCCAGCCCTGCCTCCGGGCGTGTGACTGAGTCTCGGCATGGTGGGCGCACCTGTCATCCCAGCACAGGGGAGGCTGAAAACAGGAGTATCACTGTGAGTACAAGCTGCATCGTGAGACCCTGTACCAAATACATTTAAAAAAAGAATAAATATAGGTTTCTATCATTATATGAACTTAAAGCTGGATGCTATGGCATTCCCTTGTCATCTAGCATTGTGGCTTACACTCAGCTGACTTGATTTTCTCATCTTGATTTCAAGGTGAAAAGAATTCTGAGGCGGGGGGGGGGGGGGAAGAGGCATGGTGGTTCATGCCTGTAATCCCAGAACTTGGGAGTATCCCTGAAAGTTCAAGACTAGCCTGGACAAGACTAGCCTGGACTACACAGTGTGACCCTGTCTTTAAAAAACAAAACAAAACAAAACATGGAACCAGGGAGATGGCTCAGTAGAATAAGCGCTTCCCTGGCAAGCGCAAGGGTCTGAGTTCAATCCCCGGTTCCACCAAAGAAAAAAAAAGAAAGAAAGAAAGAAAGAAAGAAAGAAAGAAAGAAAGCAAGCAAGCAAGCAAGCAAGCACACACTGTTGGGGCTGGGGGTATAGCTCAGGGGTAAAGCACATGTTTAGAATGTATGAAGCCCTAGATTAGATTTCCCACCCCATCCCCCAAAACAAAGACAGAAAAGCCAGAATGGTGGCATGCATATGCCTAACAGTCCAGTATTTTCAAGGAGATATTTAAGTAAATGTATTAAATTTTGAGTGAAGATCATTTATGACAGAGATGCCTACAGTTGGAACTTAGATGCAAAACAAGATAGAAAAAAAAAAAATTCTAAAAAGATAAATGACTAAAATTCAAAATTTTTATGTTTAGTGTGTAAATGAACACAAACCTGCTTTCAGCTCTATGGACTATGTATAAATTGATCAATTTAGTTTCTAGATTTTTTTTCCCCTCTTTCTTTTTTTAAATGTACTTGGTACAGGATCTTACTACACAGTTTAGACTTGTATTGATCCTGCCCGTCTTCAGCCTCCCCAGGGCTGGGATTGCAGGTGTGTGCCACCACGTCCAGTCTGGGTGGCCTGTTTGGCACGCCCGGGGTGGGGCCCGCATGGCATGTAGTGCCAGGATCAACTCCCAGTCCCTGAGCTTGCCTAAGCAGATGCTTAGTGCTTAGTCCTGAGTTATCTCTGAAGCCCTCCAAATCATCTAAACGCGCTACATTCATACCCGTTTAGTAGTGGTAAATTCTGAGGCAGGTTCTTGCTAAGTCACTCAAATTTCACGGATTCTTGAGCTAGGCCTGGAGGCACAATGCCTATAATCCCAGCACTTAGGAGGCTGAGGCAGGAGGATCTTTTGAGTTTGAGACCAGCCTGGGCTACATAATGAGCTCAAGGCCAGTCTGAGCAGCACAGTGACACTGTCTCAAAAACAAAACAAAACAAAACAAAACACCAAAATTTCCCCCAGACTGGTCTCAAGCTCGTCATCCTCCTGTATCAGCTTTCCAGACTGCTGGTATTACGGTCACATGCCACCATCTCTGGCTTTTTAGGGTCTTTCACATACTTATTAACCCTTTGGTCATAAATACTAATTAGAACAATAAAAAAACAAATTTAAGCTAGCAACAGTGGTACATACCTACACTCCCTACACTCTGAGAGACTGAGGTAGGGGGACCACAAATTCAAGCCTAGCCTAGGCAAATTAGCATGACTCTTAAAAATAAAAGGATTGAGGATGTGGCTCAATGCAACAGAGGCACAAACACACAAGACACAGATATATGGCTGGGATGTGGTGAAACACTCCTGTAATCCCAATATTCTGGGAAACAGGGGCAGGAGGATTGCTACAAGACTGAGGACTGATTAAGGATATTCAAAAAAATTGTTAGTGTGGGAATTGTCAGTTTTGCCACCTATATTCCATACAAATTCAAGTCAATGAAAAGAACCACAGGACTGGCAAGATAGCTCAGTGGACTAAGTAAGAGCCCGCTTAGGCAAGCACAGGGACAGGGTTTGATCCCTGGCACTGCAGGTCCTGCCACCGGAGGCACATGCCTGTAATCCCAATGCTGGGCAGGCTGAAAACAGGAAAGTCACAAGTCTAAGCTGCACAGTGAGACCCTGTCCCAAATACATAAAATAAAAATAAAAAAAGAAAACAAAAGAAGGGGCCTGCCCCATAGCTCAGTTCTTTAAGAGGCTGCTTCAACAAAGCAGTCAGGCTCAGGTCGCTGTGGTTCGATCCTCACAACTCACACAAGCCAAACCTGACCTGAAGGCATTCGGAGCAAAACAAAAGAACTGTAAGTGCAGGGGCCGGGAAGATGGCTCAGTGGAATAAGCGCTTCCCTGGCAAGTGCAAGGGCCTGAGTTCAATCCCTGGTTCCGTCAAAAAAAAAAGAACTGTAAGTGCAAATAAAATAAGGTCCAATCTCTCTTACCATTTCATCAGGAACATTAAATCACCACAGGAATCTGTTGCTCCAATAATCTTTTCTGGTTCCAGACCTCTCTCAAAGCCCCGGGCAATATCATTGCTTTGCTATAAACAGAAGACAAAAAAAGCTTACTGTATGGAGAAAAATAATTTGTTTCTTAACTCAACAAAGCACCATCTACATTAATAGTGCTCGATTTCACTTCTGTCACCAATTCAGAAAAATTCTTAGAACCCAAGAAGTACTAAGCAGTACGCTGTGAGAGCAAGCCTGTGGTCCCAGCCCGAGCCACCCAGGAGGGCTCTGTCTCAAAAGATAAAAAGACCAGGGAATCCAACCAACGCTAGAAAGAGGAGGAAAAGAAGAAAAAAAAAGGAAAGGAAAGAAAAAGAAAGGTCAGACAGAGAACACCATGTTAGCCCCCAACAGTGATGCCAAGAGGTTTTTTTGTTTTTCTTTTTTGAGACAAGGTCTCACTATCCAGTTTAGGCTGACCTTGAACTCACTACGTTGCCCAAACTGGCCTTGTACTTGCAGAGATCCTTCTGACTCAGCCTCTTGAATGCTGGGATGACAGATGTGTACCACCATGCCATCCCAAAAGATGTTTTTGCAAGAAGATCCAGTTGTCACCCGTTATTCACTTCAAAAGACTAAGAGTGATTCCTAAAAGTCTTCAATATTCTAAGAGATACTCTGCAATCATATAAGAATTCCTCTAATCTACTCACTTTCAATCTCCTTAATACTGCAAACTGACTACCCCATGCTATTGCTTCTAATAAGCCCATACTTGCGCCTTTTTTTTTTTTTTGGCAGAACTGGGATTGAACTCAGGCCCTTGCACTTGCCAGGGAAGCGCTTATTCTACTGAGTCATCTCCCCACCCCCTCACAAGCTTTTTTAAAAAATTTTTTATTTATTTATTTATTTATTTATTTATTTATTTATTTATTTCATGTGTGTGTGGCCAGCTCAGCCCACCAGGGGGCGGGGCTGGCCGGCATGTGGTGCTGGGGGATTGAACCACGGTCCCTGTGCTTTGCTAAGCTTGTTCTAAATAGGTGCTTTAGACCACTGAGCCATCTCACCAGCCCCCCTCACAAGCTTTTAAGACTTTCAATTTACCTAACATTGGTCAGTAATTTAGATTCTTTTCATAGTCATTTCATATTATGAAGGAAGAGGCTGGTACTATAAGACAGCAAATTTTGAAGATCAAAAATACCAACACCCATACACATACACATACTTGGCTAGAGAAGAAACTGTTCTGCCTATCCCTTCCCAATGTGGATGAGTTGTTAACAGGAGAGGGCAGAACTGAGCTGGGAGGGCCGGCAAGATAGCTCAGCAGTCTAAAGCACCTGCTTAGGCAAGCATGCAGGGACAAAAGTTCGATCCCCACCACCACATGCCACACCAGCTACAGGGTGCCCCCAAGGTGGGCTGAGCTGGCAAAAAAAAAAACCCACAAAAACAAAACAAAACAAAAAAAACCTGAACTGGGACTACAAAGTAGCTAGCTGCTAACTCATGAATGTAATTGAGACAAGAACCCAAGGTCTGATCCAAGTGCAATGACACTGATGAAAACAAAAAAGGAAAATTTTATGCAAAACAGATAATTTAAACCAACTATTTTGGAAGATAATACTAGTTTACCTACTAGGAGCACAGAAAGAAATCTAGGAAGACTGCTCAAATGAACATACTTGCTAGTGTCTGATTTTCATAAGATCTCTTTGATTTGATATTTACCTCACTTTCCTCTGAGAGATAGGAAAGCATGGAGAGGCCAGGTTGCCTGCAAAGATACCAGAACCCACAATAGGAAGGAAATTCCATTCCTGGATCAAGGGGAGATACTGACTTTAAAAAACATAGCCTCTTTTGGGGGCCCTTAAGGGGAAGAGGTTCCCAGATGTGCACACAGCTGCTCACAGCTGGAATGCTGGCACAGAGATTAAGAAGTAAATCATAGCTGGCAGCTGAAAAGAGTTTGCCACATAGGGAGGGAAGAAGGGGGGAATGGAAGAAAAACGTCAAGCTGTTGAAAAGGAGCTGAGCCGAGGAAAATGCTAAAATCATCACACAGGCAGTAATCTTAAATCAGGCATAATGCCGACTTACAAATTTCTCCTGCAGTGGTCTAAAGAAACACAATCCCCTCCTGTACCTTTAAAACATACAGTCACCGATATTCCCAGCTGCCCGACATCCACCAGTGCTGCTGAGAATGCTATCAGGGGCCCCGGATGAACATGATGATGCAAGGGACACATGGGGTTTCTCAAGGTCAGCAGCTTCAGAACCTGGCCTAGGCATGAAATTCAGCACTGACCAGTGGCACCAAGCCAGGGCACTTGGAACGCGCTCTTGTCAAAGGATACAAGTGATAGGTTGTAGACATATATATCTGTCACAAATACCTAGTTAAATGTCTTATCCTATGTTGGTTGTGCTTTTAGCTACAAAATGAATCAAATGTCAAAAGCCCAAATATAAAGAACTAATAAAAAAGAAAAAGGCGGTGATCATGTCCTAGCTCCTTAGAAAGTTTTCTCAAATCCTTTATCAGTATAATACATCATGGTAACACAGACTGCACCAGAATAGGACTTTTTTTTTTTGTATTTTAGGGAAGGGTCTACAGGGTGTTTAGGGTCTCACTACTAGATTGGATTTGTAATGATCCACCAGTTTACAACCTCCCAAGAACTGGGATTACAGGTGTGCGCCACCATGCCCAGTCTCAATTGCCATCTCAGCAATTGCCTGCCCCCAGCCGGGGGTAGGGGTGGGGGTGGGGGTGGGGGTAGGGCCGGCGTGGCAGGCTAGGGCAGTTTTTGTTTTTTGGCGGAACTGGGGATTGAACTCAGGCCCTTGTGCTTGCCAGGCAAACGCTTATTCTACTGAGCCATCTCCCCGGCCCAAGGACAGTTTTTAAATAAAGTTTAAAAAAAAAATAGAATTAATCAAGGAAAGGAGACACACAAATTGAAGGTCTACTTTTCTGGCCTCCACAGTCATTTCAGTTCATTTTGTTAATCTGGCTTCCCACTTTTTCCTCTGTGGATACCAGGAACCACCTGTGTAAGCCTTTATAAAGCTCTCATACCTGGGTCACCCCTGTAACTGGTCTGGGAGCTGTGCTGGACACTGGAGATCATTCAAATGGCCCGACCCCTCCCCTCCCCCTGCAGGGACTCTAATGTACACCCAGGTTGAGAAAGATGAGGGTCCAAGTGGAACGAAAGCAAGTAAGAGCTCTTCAGGCAGTGATGCTAGAGGATTCATAGGTTGACTCATGCTTTTTATTTTACTGAACTTTAAGTGTTTCATTTATCCTTCACCACAAAAGGCTTCATAACCTTGAAATAAATGGAGAAAGCCTGGAGGTGGAGTGTGTGGGGGTGAGTGTATGCACACAGATGGAAACAAACAGATGAGAAAGAGAGCGATAATAGTGCTTACGCTAGTTACTTCAGAGCTAAAGATGAGAAGGATTAAAGCAATCAAATCAGACCAAAATTTCACCATGCAATAGATTCAAAAGAAAAAAATTGACCAGGTATGGTGGCATGTGTCTTTAGTCCTAACACTCAGGAAGCTGAGGCAGAAGGATCACTGTACGTCCAAGGCCAGCTTGGCCTACGCAAAGAACTCAAGGCCAGCATGGGCTACATAGCTACGCCCTACCTCAAAGAAAGAAAGAAAGAAAGAAAGAAAGAAAGAAAGAAAGAAAGAAAGAAAGAAAGAAAGAAAAGGAAAAACACAATCAACGAAGGATGTAGCTCAGTAGAGAAGGCCCTTATTAGATTCAATTTTTTTTTTTTTTTTTGGCAGAACGGGGAATTGAACTCAGGCAAGCACTTATTCTACTGAGCTATCTCCCCAGCCCCAGATTCAATTTATAGTACCTCAAAAATAAATAAATAGGGGCTGGAGAGATGGCTCAGTGGTCTAAAGCACCTACTTGAAACAAGCTTGGCAAAGCACAGGGACCACGGTTCAATCCCCCAGCACCACATGC